TGATGAGTGTGGTGCCGGAGGCCTAATTTAAGTCCCTTTCTCTTTACCACCCTTTTCTTATAAGGAGAGGTTGGGAAGAGGAAGTGGATTTGACGGTGGAGGAGACACGTAGGAAGGGGAAATATCCTCTTTATGTGCGTCTCCTCCTCCGTCGTATAAGGGTAGGCAACGCATCTGCAATTGCGGATGTCTATGGGCAGCGGTCGCCTCGCCATTTTGGCGGTTTCAGGTGGCGCTTGCTCGTTTGCCACCTTATGTTATATAATAAAAATCCACCTTATTCCGTCACTAGGTTTCCGTTAGATATAAAAATGTCTACCTTAACCCCTTTGAAAATACATTATAGATGTTTTATTTCCACTCAATACACATGCCTAGTGATATTATAAAATTTTATTATCCGATGGTACACTGTCAACGAATATTTAATTCAACATAAAATATAAACAGAACTAAAACAACAATTGCATTCTCCGTATGTTTTCTGTGGCTATAAAATAAACACAGTTTGGAATACCGGTGGATGCAGATATCGTAGAAAATAGTGGAATGTAAATATTAGATGAAAAACGTTTGAATCGTGACGTGCCGCTGTAAAGGTTTGTAGATAAGGAATTTTGGTATGCGAGTGGTTCGGCAATGTTGAGTTAGTTGTTTGAAAAATATGCAGCCTTCAAAATACAATGTATTTAAAATGAAATTGTTATAAATAAAGATTCTCGCTAGACAGTTGGATTAAGGGTTCGATTCAAAAGGCAGTTATTTTAGAAACCGCACGCATTGTGAGGAGGCTCCTGTATCTGCCCTGACCAGTGGTTGCTTCAGGCATCGGATTTCGCAGCCGATGGTGCTCTATTTTTTATGTAATGTATTGTATTTTTATAAAAATCATGTAAAACATATTACGAGTACATACTAAATCTATATTAATATTATAAAGATATTTTCATTTTTGGAATTCACTGGGCCATTTTGAAAAATTCTTCCACCATTGAAAATCTACGTAATCACCGAGTAACATTTGCTACATTTTTTTACTTCGTATAGACAAAGTCGCGAGCAACAGCTAGTAAGTAATAAAGATATATGTTAGAGTGGTAATTTAATAAATCATATCCAAGATGATAATTCAGCTTTTAATGTAAACGATTTTAGTGATGTGAAAGTCGCAAGTGAAACCAAGTCTATTAATTATCGTAATTGAAAGCAGTCATAGCAAATATGTAATCAATTTAATAGAGCAGGACGAGACATACTTGACCATTGAACTGGAATAATCCGTACCTCCGTTATGACTTATACAAACTTCTTACCTCAATTTAATTGTCACTGTGCCCGACCTGTTGTATTTGATTAATTATTTAAGCTTAGTACCCATGAAACTCTACTGTTGAAAAACATGGACAGAAAACCTACAGTAATAAATTTAATTAATATTAAATATTAATAATGTTAATAGAGCGTTGGTGACTCAGTGTTTTAAGCACTTGACTTGTAATGTACAAGTCTTGGGTTCGATCCCCATGTGATTTTCGAATTTACATACGTTCTAACGGCGAAAATATTGTGATGCAACCTGCACATATCGGTAAGTAATTCAAACATATTTATGAAGTCAATCAACCCGCAGTGGGCCAGCGTGGTTAACTATGACCAATCACCCTAACTTAGGTTAGGTTTCGAGGACGCCTGGCTGGGTCGCGGAAGATTGCGCGAGTGTTCCCGTGACCCAGCCATCGGGGGACAGGAGGAACACCGCTGGGTTTTTAGTGGGTATTTCGGCCATTTTCCATCTTTTTGGCCGGCGAGTCCCACATACCCCCCCTGGTAACGGGGGGGATGCGTAAATGCATTTTCCCAGCTAGAAAAAAAAGGCTCCGAGGACGTATCGTGGGACATATAGTGAGCTATATAGATGATGATGAATGAAAAGATTCGAGTTAACATTTAGATTACGATTTATTATTATTTTGCACAGTATTCAGTAGATGTATAAATTGTTTGGTAAAAATAATAGAAAAACTTAATTACATTTTGGCAAGTTATCTTAAGAAATAGCGTGTAGACAGAGAAATGTGTATTTCGAAATAAACATAAACTCAAAGTTAAAATACTACACAGCGAAATTGCTTAAGTTTTTACATGCATGTAATAAACGAGTTCCACCGAGGGACAATTGTAAAGATAAATTTTAAGAAAAAAACTAGTTTTCGCCCGCGACTCCGTCCTTGTGGAATTAAAAAAACAAAAGTGAGTAGTCTATATGTTCTTCCAGACTATCCTCTACATCTGTACCAAATTTCATAGAAACCCGTTCAGCCGTTTAGGCTACAAACTTTAACAAACATCCATCCCACAAAAATTTCGCATTTATAATATTAGTATGAAGTATGATTGTGTAGAGAATTTCGTTTGGGCCATAAATTAATTAAATCATTGTCATCGAATACGTTTTCAATTTAAAATTTCATTAATTATCATTAGACGACAGCTGTAGTAATCATTATTCTATGAAGTTAAAATCGATATCGCTATTAAATATCAAATAAAAAATATAGCATTCCCAATATTTTTATATCATATGTTTTCCATTTGGCTATGAATTATCAAGTTTGTGGTAGTCTATAACAAATTTAAAGTAAAGCAAAACCTTGTACTCGAACACGGTTGAAAATTACACAAACGGCGTAACTTTAATCAGTCTGAAACACATAAGTACATACATGTACCCAAAACTAATCTCAACCTAAGCCTTAATACTTGTCAATTTGTTCTTCGTTACACGTAACCTTACTTTACCAACACATTATTATATTTTTAAGCTACTGATCTCTATCTATATTATCTTTATAATAGACTAGCTGTTCCTGTACGGGTTCATCCGCATTAAATTATGAAAATTTTATTTCATTGTTTACATTTTTCAAATTATCAATAGCAAATGTCAAAGTGACATGACATGACAAACCTTGGCAATCTTGTTTACTTAATGTTGGCAGCAACTTATGATCTCTTTCCCACATTAGGGATTTTATCCAAAATATTTACCCCCTAAGTTTATTGGTGTGAAAATATATAGCCTAAAGCGTGAAGTAAATATAGGGAATTTATGAAAAAAAGAATTATTCAAAAATATGCTGTTATTACTGACATCTTAGGCAAGAAAGACGTGTGTGTTTACGCTTTATTATAATATAGATAGATTGTAGTATAGATATAGATATCCTCGTAAGTAAAGATTTAATTTTTTTGGATTGTTGTATGTATTTAAATAAATCAAAAACTGGGCTGATTTCAAAAATTCTTGCATCATTAAAAGCCACATTATCAGTCTTAGCACACATCACATTGGCTTATGTTTTTAATCATTTAGTTTTACGCGGTCGAAGTCGCCAGCAATAGCTAGAGTTTTAAAAAATAAATTTAAGTAAGATACAAAAGTACTTATCACAGAAGTAAACTATGTTTATACTTCAAATTTATTTCACAGCGGGCGGCGCTATGAAGTCGTAGTAATTAACTTTCTTAAATTTTAAGGTTGGGTCTCATCTTTTGCCTGATAGCATTTAAATGTCCTCTTAAGTGACAATAATGGATAAGAGATAAAAAGAAAAGTGTCATTGTTAATATTGATGAAGCATGTTTTCCTTCAAGTAATTTGTTAGGAGTATCTTATTTAAGTTTACATTTAACTTAAAATGAGAAATTCTTGTAAAGAAACTCGTGTCTTTTGCTTTTGACGTGCAAACTTTACGCATACGTGCTGCTGTTCACTGCCGCTGCCGTTGCTCTTTTCATTACGTTTTGGTTGTCAACTAAAGAAATTACTGCACACGAGTTTAACAAATGATGTCAAAGTAAAAATATTACTAGTAAATTATTATATCTGCGCTCTACACCCACGTACAAATTATAAAAGTTTATTGAAGATAAACCCAGAAATACAAACCGCAATATCATCTTTCCAATCTATGTTGAAAAAGTATGAAGTTTTAGTAGAAGGTATAAGCCGACAGCAGGTGGACCGATGACTTAATGCGCACGGCGGGAAGAATAAATGCTGAAGGCGGAGAACTGCAATCTGTGGAAGGTATTGGAGAAGACTTATGTCCAACAGTGGACAGATAAAAGCTGAGAACGATAAGCAGAGGTTACAAATTAAGTTTTTGTTAGCTTATTGTCGTATTTCAATTGATTTAAAAATAAAAATAAACTCGAATTATCATAACATATAAAATGTGTATAAATAAATAGCAACTACTTTTACTTGTTTAAAGAATGTCTGAAGGAATCGATACCCAATCTGAAAAAACTCTCAATGTTTTATTTGCGCTACACAAAGGATTTTGGTTAAACTTTTTATACGGTTTGTAGATGCTTTTACCCATGACCGTGACCGTTACAATACATATCATGTTTATACTACATCCGACCCTTCCTCGATCTTATCGCTGACATTGTGGACGGTTTTTTTTTGTATTTTATTAACATATATGTATACTGTTACTTTCTTTATAAGTTGTTTTAAACATGTCTGTAAATTAAAGTAATTTGTCTGCTGTTGGTCATTTTTTAACCGATTTCCCAAAAGAAGGAGGTACTCACATCATCTGTATGTTTTTTTATATGTGTAAAGCATAGTTTACTTTAAATTTAGATGAATAATCCTATAGTTTCACTTATTCTACATTGTGATGTCCATGTTTTGCTGTCGATTCAATTAGCCATGAAGCAATATTCCAATCTTACCAATATTATAAATGCGAAAGTTTAGATGGATGTATGTTTGATAGAGTTTGTAGCCTAAACAGCTGAACCGATCTCGATGAAATTTGGCATACACGTAGAGGATTAGTCTGGAAGAACACAAAGGCTATACCAACTTTTTTAAAATTCTACTCGGATGGAATCGCGGGCGACAGTTAGAAATATATAAATACTTATTGATAAATGATAGACAAGGAGTGAAATGAAACATTGTTTTTTTCACATTTTATTATATATTTTATGTAATTGTCAGAATTGTATAACTTAATAATCACAGTTGAAACAAAACAAAACTATGTAGGTATATCGTAATTATAATCTAAAATTAATAATTAGGTGCAGTAGGCGCGGCGCCTCGTATTCTTTGTACTGGGAGATTGTGCTCTGCTGTCTGATAGTGTACACATTATTTATCAAATTCGCGTCGGAATTGTATTATTGCCATATGAATGATATACGTAGGAATTGGTAATTTACAATTACACGTACTGTAGTTACTAGAACACTAATTTGATTTCGGAATAGATAACACAGAACGTGTAAACGTTCCAGGAAATAATTTGCACAAAATGTATACATTATAAGGGTGCGTTTTCACATCACTTGCAGAATTTAGTAATCTATTTTAATTACATAAATTGTAACTTTTTCGCTAATCAATTTAAAAAAAATTACAGAAGTTACGAAGAAGGAGAGTTGTTTTTATAATGTTTGAAGTTTCGGATGGCTTGAAAATAAAAATTGTTAATTTTTACGGCTACTGAAAGCGCACCCTAAGACATCAGAGCCTACAGGGAAAACAAAAATGTTTGTTTTAGTACTCAGTGACGTAGAGCACATCGAATCGGAAAGTATACATCTCATAAACAGTTCAAAAACTTATAAAATACCATTGTATAAGACTGAAATATAAAATCGGACAAACTCTATAATAATTCGTCTATAATATGTATGATTACTGGCAGTGTAATGATAATGATATAAAATAATAAATGGAAAAAATTAAAAGCTAAACGTCACATCGATTTGGGCCTAACTATGTCTACTTACACGAATAGTAATTAACGAGAATTGCTTTATTGATAACTCGAGTATTCATCTTGAGTGCAAACTAGTGGGTGTTCTTACAGTAAGGTATTCATTATAAACAACCGAATCTACAAAAATCTTAGGCTTTCAAACGCATAATAAAAAATCAGTCATTTTAAAACAATTAAGTATAATATATTCTAAAATTTACACAGATCCTAATTCGATGTCGAAGTGAGACAGTTCCATTATAAACCTTCAATTAAATTAATTATTTTTCTTTACTATAAATTCTTAAAAATAAGGTTTTAAATTAGTGACTTTCTAACGGTTTCAACAACTATCTCACGTCAAAATCGATGGAATAATCTAGCACAACACTCTTAGTAAGTTATTGATATTTTTCTAGGTGCGACTAAATTTATATTTATGTAAATATACGAATAAATAAAGTGCAAACACTTAACCCTACCGTCGTCAGCTGCATTGATAACGCTAAAATTGGCACAGTCCCATTCATATCGCAGCGTCGCTTCCCCCTTGCGACCGCACGCACTCAATCCCCGAAGCACCCCAGCTCGTTCACTCACTCTATCGTCGCTGTTTGTCATTCGTTCCGCTGCTCATTCACTTGCACGCTATCATTCAGCTTCATGGTAGTCGTTATGCCAACACACAATCCTTCACAATGTTTTAGTACTACGTTAAGAAGTAGACCGTAGGTAGTCCTTTCCGTATCTCTAAATATTAACTAACACTACAGAGACATTTGGAGAGGAACACCAGATACTGTACAGTTTTTACACTGAAATTCCAATTTGAATGTTACGTTTTATTTAGCTAGGTAAGGGGTGGATGTCAAAAGTCGTATATACATCCCCTATATAATCCACGGATCCACTGAGCGCTATATTCGGCGGCCGAACGGACCATTTATCTAATTATTTAATAATATAAAATATAACATGTTCTTTCTATACTCCAATCGATTGTCGACTTTAAAGAAGGGCCATCCATACAGTGATATCACGTAAAGCTGTGAACTTACAAAATACTCGTATAAATTATTCACATTTATAGCACACTATCTACAAACACCCACATTCAGATTCACGTCTGGCCCTCCAGTTGAAATGCCCCTTATCTCGACAACTTCCAATAAAATACTGACTCATAATATGGCTAAGTATAATAAAAACTTATATCGAATATTTGGTGAGTACGTTTTTACTTTATAAAAGTCGCATTTAAAATAAGTTAATTTAAGAATAATTATTTTAAGCTTAGTGTTTATAAATAAAGTACACGTTGAGAACAGCTTGCCACGGCGATGTGTCACGTGATTAATATCAAACGAAATAGTAAAATAACGTAAGTTAAGGAGCGTATTTTATAGCGGCTTATGTCTTACAGGTTAGAATAATGGGAGACAATTGACTAAAACGCCGTGTTGCGGGCGAGGTTGCCGTGCTTAGAGCTGCTCGTCCATGTCGGGTCCGTAGAGGTCAGCCAATTTGTCAAATCTCGGTCCCCAGGCGCCCAGGTAATCGTATTCATGCGTCTCGTCGTCAGTACCTATAACAAACAATCAATACTTTAACACTTTCAATGCGAGTACGATTTTTACGGATTAAGCTTGGTTTTGAAGTTTCCACTTATTTTATCATTACCTATATCTATGTTTCAACGAAGTAAAACTTAACGTTTTTAAACAAAAGTATTTAAAGAAGTTATCGAACGAAAAAATCTATCGAATAGTTAAACGTAGGTGGGAAACCGGCCATCAGTAGTGTAAATTGGTACCAATTGGTACCCAATGCTTTGTTTTTTTGCTTATTTTCAGTCCCTAAAATAGGCCACTGCAATTGCATCTATGTAATTTCTGTATATCATCAGTATAATTAAATTTTATAGTTAATAATAATTTAATTTCGAATGTTACAAAAGTTAGTCGCAAATGGTAAACTCTGTTTACCAGTTCGTTAGGTCGCTTGTTAGGTGAAACTTTGAGGCTTATTCCGACCTACTTTATTCAAGGACTAAGTAACTTATTTTCTGATATAAACTTTTCAGTCTCTTCATTCACAGCTCCAACACAAATTGAATTTTATTAGTCAACGGAAATTTTGTTTATTACATTCTGAATTAAATTTTGTGAAAAATGTTCTTCAAGGGTAGCAGTGATAGTTTTATGGTTTCACTTTTAACACCTTATGTGATATTTATAGCGGATTTTTGGCATCGTTTAGCTACTTACTACTTAGTAGATACTTACCGGAAGCTAGGGACGACAAAGAGCCAGCGGTACTGCCGCCGCCCTCGTAAGCGTAGTTGCGGAGGTCGTCGAATGGTGGCGCATTGGGATCGCTGTCGGCCCGTCGCTTGTGCTCCTCGATGAACATGCCAACGTTGGTCTCGCCTGGCAGCGGCAGCACCGGCGGCACGCCTATAGCGACACCCATTGGGCCCACGCCGATACCCACGCCCATCAGTGGATCTAAGATAGTAAAAGATAGTAAACATTATGACAATTTTGTTCTTAAAGGTGACAACAGTTGGAGTGTAAAAAAATACCAAGGGTGCGTGAACTTTCCCTATATTGGATATACTCGTAGTTAGGTCTTAGTCAACCACACAAGAGTGACTTGGTTCAAATTTTTCTGATATAAATTAAGATGAACGCTTGGTCAATTAATTTGTTAATGTAATTAATAACAATGTAATGTCAAATATGATAATGCATTGCTCGTGTTTACACTTCCAGATATTACATAGCATACGTTAATTTTTTATATTAAGATTTATACAAGCTTCATTAATTCAATTCCGTTCCCTCAATTCAAAGATATTTTTATTTCTAATTAAATAACGTAAGAAATAATAACAGTGCTGCAAAATTAAATACGAAGCATAAATTATTACAAGATAATATTGTAGCGACTTCATAATTATTTCACGTACATTTTTATAGTAAAGGCATCTTTTAAAGCGTTTTAATTATTTTCTAAGAGGTAATGAAGTGAAATTGTTTCATATTTTTTCATGGTTTTATTTGAATATTTTCATAATTTATTTTTACTTATAGAATAAAATGACAACTACGTATGTATTACATTGAACCAAATTTCTTAAGAGATGACTACCGATAAGAGGAGTAAGTTTTAAATGTTATTTATTACAATAATTTTGAAGTTTTTTTTTTAATTTTAGCTTATGGTGACTTTATTAAAATGACTTTAAACATAATTTTTTACACAACAACTATTGTGGCAAAATTCAAAGAAATCATAATTTTTTTCATCCTATAAAGTTTATTTTGAAGCTATGAAACATTGTATCAGCGTGTCAAATTATCAATACTAGTAAGCTCTCGTAAGTATTGTTAGTTGTAAGGGATAAGTCACGAGACAGATAAAAAGACGTATGACATTTACAAGGGTACGGTACTTTTAGTTCCCTCACTAACAAACACTCCAACTGATAAAGAACTTCTGAGAATTTTATTTCAACTATTGATATAAGAAAATGCTACGAATGGAATACATACTCACAATATGTGAAATACGTATTTTATTCTGTAGATTAGAATTTTAAGACTCAGATAAAGTTAGTTCGGTGCCAGCACCGATTATTTTCAAAGGCAAAAGTCGTTCTTACGGGTGAGTTTAATTGGGCTGGATTTGCTATGGTACACTTTAAGTTAACACATCATATTAGCTTTCGCCCGCGACTTCGTCCGTATGGAATGAAAAGAAAAAAAAAGTGAGTAGCCTATGTGTTCTTCCAGACTATCCACTACATCTATACCGAATTTCATAGAAATCCGTTTAGGCTACAAATTCTAATAAACATCCATCCATTCATCATATAAACTTTTCCATGATTTATACTTACAAGGTAATTTAGCAGGTGCGTGGTCAGGTAGTGGTCCGCCGATAGGTATCTGCAGGGGGGTGATGTCAAAAGCGGTCATATCATCCTCGCCGCCCCCTTCGTCGTCGTAGTTAATAATGTTCTCGCGGACGTCGTCGTCCGGCCCCGGGTACTTGATGTGTGCCTCACGGCGACGGTTGTATACCACGAAGACTAACACCAGTACTGCGAGGAAATATATGCACATTTAGTTCAGATTCTATTTAAAAATATCCGCACACCCTCACTGTACTTTTATGAAACATCGAGACGAGTTTCCACTTTCGTAACCCTTATATGCCAACAAATTGATTACTGTCGTTTAATAAACCTGAGATGTTTTTATACAAGTATTGTAATATTTGCAATTATCGGTTACATGGACTCTTTTAAATACAATTGTGGTTGTATATAAGTTTTTAGGTAAGTAATGTATCGTTTCCGCGCAAGGTTTACGGTTGCAGCGCCAGACGAAGTTATCCGGCTGAGCCGCTGCTTCCATTTGCAATGCAAATGAGACTACACACTTTGTCTATTTCTATTTATGTACAGTAAGGATGCACGGAAAATACTTTTAGCTTTTACTTTCCGATAAAATATGTATTTACATCATATATCCTTGTTACAATATGGGTATAGAATATAAAGGTTTTAGGCCTATGTTTATAAGAAAATACAATAAAATATTTTGGTAAAATTTTTACCTTAAAACTATTTTTATTGATAAGCTAAGAGGTGACATTTTTAACGAAAGTAAAAAAATAAAATTAAAAGTGTAGCTATTAACTAAAACCTAATTAACAAAAATTGATGTCTTTAAACAACTTAATTAGTAGGCTCGTGGATTTGCTCTCAAATACATTTTAATTAAAACGATAATTTTTTCACCATATAAACTTTGTAATGAAGAATGTAAGTAGTGGGATTAATATCCAAAAATATCCATTCAAAGAAAACTTGTGCGTAAGGGATATTTTGTGTCCTTACGTAATGGTGAAGTATGTATTACATTTAAAAAAGTAGATAAGAAAACATTTTGTAATATGAAATAATTTAAACATGATGGAAATAAACCAAATAATGAAGTAATTTTAACGTAAGGTGGAAAGGAGTTAATGACTAAGTTCACAAGATGTCATGCAAATGATTAATGTGAAGGTGCTCACCTAAAAGCAAAAACAAACAGACAATGATAGCTATTATGAAATCTCTGGATGGGGTGATGATCCCGGAGGCTAGCAAGACTAGTTCGCAGTCATGCCCCGCGTAGCCGAGCGCACACACGCAGTCGTAGCGGCGTGCAGGCTCACGGTCCACGCAAGTGCCCCCGTTCAGACACGGCCGGCCAAGGCACTCGTTCACGTTGACGCACGTGCCTCCAGCACGAGTAGACCCTCCCGGACACCTACACACCGCATACTGTACCTCCCGCTCTCCCCTCCCCCGACATCCGCGCACTGAGCCCCTATGCATGCACTACAATATACCACTAATGCACATATATCTATATATGGGATGATGATGAGAGTGCGATCGTGAGTAGGTGAAAGGTAGCCTAGTTGGTAGGATCACGCACGAAGCGCGACTACGCTATGCTCACTCATTATGATAAGGAGGCACACGAGGATGGCGGCCAAGGCGCCCATGCTCAGCTTGAGCGTGCGTCCTTCCTGCACGAGCTCGCAGTTTTCGCCCCAGAAACCTTCGGGACAGTGGCAGCGGTAGCCAGGTTCGCGGTTGACACACGAGCCGCCATTGCGGCACGGGAAGTAGAGGCACTCGTTCTTGTCTACGCAACCCTTGCCGTCCGGCGACAATACCAAACCCTCACCGCAACTGGACACCATCGCAATATATTAACATATACACATTATAAAGCTTTTTTATTACAAAATATTAGTAAAATATTTTAATAATTACTTATAATAATAAAGCGTATAAAGCCTATAAAGTAGGTATACTAAATACATATAGTATTTAATAAACTGTTAGTAATATAGTTAACATAATATACACATAAAATATCATAGTTGATAAAAAGAAACTCAGTGCGCGACAACAAATAGACAAAATACAATTATTTCACAAATTTTAGACTTGTGCAAAAAAAAAACAAAATAATTTGAAACATTACCGTTAAACAAGTCACATATTTTGAGTGATTTTAAATCATCATCGAATAAATATTAACGTATCTTTTATTTTTAATTAAAAATATTAATCAAGCTTACTCTTAATTATATGTAAAAAATAAACTCACGTGCATTCATATTCATTCCAAAGATCGACGCATACGAAGGGCTCCGTGCAGTGAACATTGATGCAAGGACTATTTGATGGACAGTTACGGTCGAGATTTCGAGCCATAGTAGCTTGTCCCCATTGAGTGCCGTTCATGGCGGGCGGTAGTGGCAGATGTTTGCCTTCCAACCTAATATCGTCAAGACAACCTTTCTGGAAATCAGCATATACTTCGAACGTTCGAACACCAGTGTATTCCGCCTTACCACCGGCGTAAACTCCTTCTTGTTTATCAACTAATAGCCACTGATGACCTTCAAATCTAAATGACTCATTGTACCTTCTTCCTTCGCCGCCGTCTATTTCGAGGGTAGCAGCGCTACCATATCTACTGACGCGGGCTATATGCCATTGTCCATCATCAACAGATACTGAGTTGAGCCATACGTCGCGTTCCTCTGTTCGTAATGAGTTGAGATTGTAACGGAAATGTAAACGAGCATCTTTTACTTCAAGAATACCATACTCTCTATTGTGTTGGTCGCTTACTCTAAAGAGCTCTCCATGCGGCTCCCGGGTTCTAAAGCGTAGCTGTATTTGTGTACTAAATCTGTCCGGTTCAAAACTCAGTGCAAACTTCACGTAACTCTGTGGACGAAAACTAGTCGGCGTGGTGGGCAAGTTACAAGATGGACCAGTCCAACCTGGTTGGCACTGACAACGAGCTTCAGAGAAACTACCAACGCAATTTCCATGTTCCCAACATCTAGATGTTGCATCTGCTTGATTACAGATTTCTTCAGTCTGTGGGCATCCCGCAACAGAATTCCTGGACAATCCAGGATGGGCTAGGTCGTATAGTTTACTGTTGTGGATTAAATTACGAATACATCCATCGAATCCTTTTCCGATCGGCATAAATTGCCAATGGTAGTGAGTTGGATCGAAGTGGTCTATATACAAGCCGCCAATTTGTAGTGGTGCATTCACATTCAAGTACTCATTGAATGGTGGGATAGTACCCGAAGCTTGACAAGATGAATCATCAAATTCAGGAGGTGTTCCGTCTTCCATTTCTTGTATATCAGCTGATTTGCAAAAATCTACTACCATTCTTACGTTTTCAGTATCCCAGAAAATATCAATTCGATGCCATTCACCGTCGTCCAAAGATTTTTTAGTTTTCACTCTTAGTTCTAACGTACCAGAGCCAAAGTCGATGAGGAGTCGTGGATTACCCCTATCTAGTTCTACAGATATAAAATCAGAAACCATTATTTCTTCAGGCTCAGGTGGTACTATGGGTCCGTTATAAAGTAATACTCCTTCAGATTTTCTTGTAATAAACTCAAAACTCAGATGAGAATTATCACACATTTCCAGAGCCGGGTACCACGCCCATCCGGTACCCCTAAAGCTTCTCGATGTTTGTTGACATCTTGGACCTGTATATCCGGGTGGACAGGAGCACGTTAAGCCGTATTTGCCTTCTATACATCTTCCTCCATTATAACAGGGCGAATTACGACATGTTTCAGCTTGAGTAAAGTTTCTGGCGCCACAAGTACATTCAGCGATCACATCAACTCTAACACCAACAAGAGCAGTTTTATTTGCATTAACCATGTAAGGTAGATTACTTATATCAAGGACATTGGTGCAAGATCCTTCACACATTTGATTTTCATAAATACATTCATCAATACCGACCATGGTTATGTTGATTCCTACAGATTTTTCAATTTCTTCTCGATGCATGAGTACAATTCCATTTAGACGAATTGGTTTGTAGAAATGAGCTCCATGTGCTGAAAATCGTATATCAGTCACCGGTGGGTGCTTCTTTCTCAGTTGAACACTGAATATATCGATATTTTCCCTTTCAGTGTTAAGCAAGTCTGCTAATTTGTCTTTGAAAATATCCAGTTTACTTCTAGATACACTGAGTGTTTTATAATTCCAAACACGGATAAAATCTTCATCGGATATACCCGATATCCGAATGGAACCCGAATTTATAATTGCTTCATGTGTTATTTCTTTGACATACACAGTAACATTAGCTGGAACATCAGTCTGAGTATGTTTTCTATCATAAACTTTAAATTTCAAGTGGTATCTACCTTCCCTTGTCTTGTGTTTCATTTGAATCATCCCTGTTTCTTCGTTCAAAGTAAAGTTTGGATGTTCTGAACTTTCCCAATAGAACTTTTTGTCCGGTAAATCCCAGTCATCTAGATCATACACATATACTCGTCCGATTTCAGTGTCTGGTGCTTGGCCTTGGTAATTATAGACAAGAATTTCCTTAGAACCGGGTTGCATTTTATTGTCATTAACATCTCCGATAACCACAGTTAGTGTACTGGTTCCAGTCATGGCTGGATTACCATGGTCTTTAATAATAATCGGAATAAGATATTCTTTTTGCTGTTCTCTATCAAACGATCTCAAAGAGGACACTATAGCCATTCCGTCTCCGTTTGCACCTTTTTGATCTTGCTCTACTTTAAACGATGCTCGTATTATATCATCTGCACCAGGATCCAGCCGGAACTGGAACGGTGGTCCGTTACTTTTAGACCTATCATCGTCATCGGTCGCCAAGATTTCTGCTACTTTTTTCGGTGTTATGTGTTCCGTCAAAACTGGTCTATAGTCTTTCAAGAAGGTGGGTGCATTGTCATTTATATCTTGGACTATTACAGTCAACGTTGCGGTTGCTGTTCTTGGTGGGACACCGTCATCGATAGCTAATATTTTGACTTGATGCCTTGGCGTGTCTTCTCTATCTAATGCTCTTTGTATACTAACTGTGCCTTCTTGATTAATAGAGAACTGTCGCTTTCTATCAGAAGATCTATCGATAGCATAAGAAACTTTACTTTTTCCACCTTGGTCGGGATCGGTGGCTTTAAAGGTTTCAAGGCTCTTGCCAACTTCTGCATTTTCATATACAGATACCTCTATGTTAGCTCGTTCAAATTGCGGTTTATTGTCATTAATATCTCTTAGCTTAACCACAACCCACGAATAGGCCACATGATATTTATCATTGTCATTGTCTTCTCCTTTATCATTAACTTGTATTCTAAATCTAAAACCGTTACTTTGTAACTGATCTTCATAATCCAAAGGTTGAACTATTTTCAACGAACCAGTACCGTCATTATTTCTAACCATGGTAAATTTATCTGCTCCATAACCACTGTTTTCAATAACTTTATACTGAAATTTATTTGTTTCATCCTCGTCATGAACTGTTACGGTTAGAATAGGCATTTCTGGTAAATTAGTGCCATCGGTTTCATCAACTTCAGTAAACCATTCATCTTTAGTAAATTGTGGAGGCATGTCATTGATATCTTTGACGCGTATTGATGCTGTACCCGTCCCTTTAAGCCCCCCTCCATCAGAAGCGACTATTTGTATTGAATAATCAGGAGTTCGTTCACGATCTAAACAACACACTGCAGTTTTGATAACACCAGTTTCTGGCTCAATTTCAAATATGGGTGAACCGGTTTCTTCTTCAATGACATTCTTTTCAATCGAATACCACAACTTCGCGTTGTTACTCTCGGCAGGGTCATCGTAATCTAATGCAGTCATTGTCATAACAACCATGCCTGCAGTACCGTTTTCTGTAACATTCCCAAAATAAACTCCTTGTGGGAATATAGGTGCATTATCGTTAATATCCTTAAGATTCACTTGAACATCCGCGTAGCCTACAAGGCCTTCCCCACCCTCATCTTGAGCGAATACCGTAAACCTCCATTGTGGTCTTCCATTTGGTTGATCACGATCCAACGGCTGGAATAAAAGTATAATTTATTACGAGATAAACATGAGTTAACGTTAAATAAATAAAATAAAAAATTGCCATTTACCCGAAGAACGAATATTTCACCCGTAGTGCGATTTATATCAAATTTGCTATTTGCAGGATTATCTGCATCAATTCCCTGGCCAGTTAAAAAGTATACGATGTTTTGTTGCCGATCTTTATCGCCGTCCGTCGCTGTAACCTGAGATAAAAATGTCAAAAATATCCATTAATATTTATACGATATATCAAACATTACTAACACAAGTAGTAAATGACTATCATAAAATAGCAATATGATACATGTTTAATTTTTAATTTTTTATTAAATATACTTGGTCTTTGGTTTATATCATTAAATTATTAAATTGAACTTACCTCAATCCTAACAAAAATTGTAACATATTCCTTGCAAATCTAAGTTAAGTAGCGTTTTTTAAACCGGCTACGTAGAAAAACATTGTTTTATGTCACAATTGAATACGAAGCAATAGTTTCCGTACCTAAAGTTGCGTTAAGTTACAAATCAAATAACTTTTTATTGTTTGAGTCTGACAAAAGTTGAGTTTGCTTGAACTAAAGCGTGAATACTTCTCTTTTTGAAAATTCAACGTTTGCTACTGTTTCGAGCTCGAAAAATATTTGTACAATTTGCAAAAAAATTAAAGTAAATTGCTTTAGTAAAAATGTTATAAAATATATGAGGATTCTAATTACGTCGCGTCGGGCTGTTTTTAAGTCGAAAAAATGAAGAGGGTCGACGTTAGCATAATTACTCGGATCATTTGCAAATCTCATTCCAATTATGAAAAAAAAAATGCTTGTCACTACAAGCGATTGGGGACGCAGGTTTAATTGTCTTTACGTCGCTTTCATGATATTGACTTCAAACAATTAAAAAAAACCATCTCTGTGTATAATTAATAAAAAATACAAATTAAAATGCAATATTTTGAACTAATAATTACTTGTCAAGGCCATTATAAATTAATTATGAGTAATAGAAGTAAAATGGCTTTACTTGATTGTTCTGTGCAAAATATTTGATTGTTTAACTTAAACGGACGTCAAAAGTTAAGAAATGTTGTCTTAATCCTTAAGCTCGCTTGAATGATTTATTATTTTCATCTTAATTATGATTAAAGTAATACAAAGACCAAGTTTTCTGTAGGCCTACGGAATTAAGTATAAAGCGCTTTTGAAAAGTACCTACTTATCTTAAACACGGATTAAGATTAAAAATGTATGAAAGGCAAGCGTTACACGCTACATGCATAAAGAAAACATTAACGTCTTATTTTCTATACTACATTTTGCACTGAAAGAACATGCATATAACAAAATCATGTTATTTATAACAACTACTTAATGTAGCTAATAAATAATTTAAAAGAAAAAGGAAATTAGTCATTTAATTATACTTACACCAGCGACCAATCAATTTAATGATTAATTAAGCTAACATTTTTGGAGTACGGATAGGCTATAATTTACGTAGCCTATAACTTAAAACGTTATTAAATTTACTTACAAAACATTTTAATTTATTTAATACAATATCTTATGTTTCCTCGACATTTAAAATATAGAAAATTATATTAAAGAAAACAATAAAAAAGTAAAAGAAAATTCATTTTGTTGACTCGTAGGCCTTTTGGAAATGAAGGTTGTATTAGAAATAAATAAAATAAACAAAAAAAACATAAAAAACCTGTAAAAGATGTCGAGGAAATGGTCCCGTCTCTTCTAAAGCTTGTGTGACGTAAGCGCTGCGAGAGAACTTTGGCGGCATATCGTTGATGTCTAGGACGCGGACGACGACACGCGTCGAGTTCTCGTTGCGGCCATCGGACGCGACCAGTGTCAGCTCGTACTGCGCACGCACACACCATGCCACATGCAATATTTAATACCAACAGGAACAAGGTACTTTAAACCTTGGCTTTAGAAAATAAGTCTCAATTCCCTATAGCAACATTCCACAATTTATTGAGCGCCAATCTTAACACCACATATGATGTGGAACTAGAGTTTTTGTATTGGGGGGGGGGGGATCTTCGAAAACTATAAAAAAGGTCTTCAAAAATCTTCAAAAATTATAAAAAACATTTTATTTGATCTCTTTAAATAATAAAACATTGAATTCGCAGTTTCGTTTATAAAAGTTTCATTAATCAAAATTACATTTATTCTATTTAGTTTAAAAAAATAATATAAAATGTGTTATTAACAATTGAAATTAATTAAAAAGAAACAATTATTAACTGGAACAGTCAAACAAATGAATAATATTATTTTAAAGAATATACAAATATAGTTTGTAATTAAATACTTTAATTCGTATCTGACTTCATATATATCATTCATACATATTATTAACACTTATGATTGAGATGCTTTATAATAATTATAACTATTATTCTCGTTATGAACATGATACGTATTGTTGCTGTTGAACTCTTTGTTGTATTTTAAATCGAAACTTTCAAGCTTTTGATTGTTCAGGTAATAGAAGAATACAAAAAGCTCACATTTCATTGTATCATTTCCAATTGAAACAAGTATACTTAACATTTTTAACCATAAAAGTTACAATGTTAGTTTGGACATTATTACAATTATTTTGTCATTCAAAGAGGGATTATTATATTTCTTAATAAAATAATAATCATATTAAATGTGTTTAATGTATATTAAAAAAATGTAATGTAGTTATCATTTTTTTACCAAGGTAACGATAAATAAACGTAAATTATAATGTAATTCTTGCGAAATAATACCGTAGTTAGAATGTGTTTGTTTTCAACAAAAATGTTTTCCGCTAACCCCATATCTTCGTTATTATTAGTTATTGTTTGAGCCCGCGAGGGATACATCGTTTTTATCTCAATTTCGCCTTAATATCAGAGGAATTTTACCTCCGACTTGCCATAATCCTTATGACTTTGGAATTTGGTTAAAGTTTTGTTTAATTAAGTATTTTTTGATAAAGTAAAAAATTATTTTGATCTTCTATGACAATTAATATAATTTTATTAATCGAAATTGTAATTTAAAAGAGTAGTAAGTGTTACAGTAGGATTTTTTTTTTATAGAAACTTATCTATTTTTTAATTTAAAAATAAAACAAACAAACCCAGTATCATTAAAGAATACAAAGAAAAAAAGATAAGATATTTTCATTACTACAATATAAAAAATATGAAACAAGTTAGATTTTAAATAAGAGAAGATTTTTTTTAAATCTGCGATCCCAGGCTCGGAGTAAATAAATGTTGGAATCACGGGGGCGATTGTTTAAAGAGCTTTGTCATAAGCGGGCCGGGTATTACGCGCCTCAATGAATTTCAGTAGACTCTACTTAAAAACTGCGCTTTGAGTAAGTGCGCGGCGACCGTTTTTGAAATTCATCTACTTTCACCGTTCTTGTTTCAAGAGGATGTTTAAAAAGGTCTTATTACATTTATAAAAAGGAAGATTATCACTTTTACCTCGATGGCACTTTAATCATATTTATTCACGCTTTTTTTTGCTAACAGAGCCTTAAAAATACTTAAGATTAGGAAAGTTGTAGAACTCTGTGTGTTGCAGTTAGTGTATAATTTCATCGGGAGCAATTTTTTAATTAACCTGTAAAGAACAATATAAAAAAAACAAACAAAAAAACCATAACTATAGCAGCTTCAAAAATAATTTTTACCAGTAATTAGCAACTAGCAACGAACAGTATACGAATAAAACAAAACTAACAACGATAGATGCCAAACAAATGGGAATTTAACAAAAAAACTACGTTTTAACAAAACAAGAGCAATTCATGCCATGCGGACACGACGGACAACACCACAAAAAAAAAAACGCCAACCCAAATAAAACTCATGCGAATCTGTTACAAAGCTAACTGAGAACTAATAAAAAATCCTTTTCTTAACAAAGCGGACCTGTAGGACACGTTTTGGAAGATTCCGGTCCACTTCTTCGGTGATCTGCGTACGGTACGTTGGTCTTTCGAATACCGGAGGATTGTCGTTGACATCTTTCACGTGAATCACCACTGTCGTATAATTTTCTTTCAGATTGTCCGATGCCGCCAGTTTCAACTCGTACTGTTTCCCAAGTGCAATTAGTAAAAAAACTTCAGATAAATTAAGTTTTAATATTTAATCTAGCTAAATCTTAAATTGTTTCACTTAAAATATCGTTATAAAAGTCATGAAATGAATGTATTTTCTTTTAGCAATGATAAAAAAGTTGAATTAAAGTGGAATTGACTATAAATTAGCTTTCTCGAGTTTCCAAAAGTTATCCTTTTCAGAAGTTTGTTTTCGTTACGAACAGGTAACTTAAAAAAGGGTTAATGATGAGTCTCGTAAATCGAATTGCTTCTATATTTTATTCAATCGAAGTGTAATCGAATATTGTTTGTAAAGTTAAAAACTGTTCAAAGTCAAAGACTGGATGACGTTAGCCTTTTGTTTTCTGTGTATTTAATTTATTAACGAAATGCTTATTTTTAAGCTTCTTGTAGTAACTTAAATAAAATTCTCATTTGTTTATGTTATTTAAAACAGTCTCTCCAGTAGCTGAAATTCAAATGTAGCGTCAATTATATTAGCGACAATTCAACTGGTGATGCGCCATTAAGTGGCCTTTAGAAGGCTGTGTGCTGTCGGCAGGTCAGGAGGACTGTCAGTTAGCTGTGTAAAATGCTTCATTTGTTCAAAGTACCGACGCCACAATTAGCATAATGCCTACAGAAACAATGACCAAAAGGAACTAAGTATCCAGTAGACTTTTGTCATCGAAATATTTTGAAAAGCACAGTAGTACCTTCAGAAATATGTTTAAAATTCATCGAGATTACTGCAATTAAATTAAATTAATTAATTGATAACTAAAATACGATATTGGCGATTTTTAGAGATTAATTATGGTCTGTAATACCTTGTGTATTAAGAATGATCTTAATTAAAGGATTACTGTTGTTATACAGATAAATAACCAATTAAGACAACTAAAAAGGAATTGAACAAGGACAAGGAAGCTTTCGAGTTATAAACGAGTTTATTCCATTAGTGATTCGCGGCAACTCGGCAGCATGGAGCCGGCCGGAGCGAGCACGCTCGCCTGTTTAAATGGATATTAAAGATTAAATAATTTATCTCGCACAAAGTTCGATGAAACTTTATCTACAAGACTAAGAAAGAAGCGTCTTATGATAGCTCTGTAGTGTTTGAGATACGACGCTTGCTGAGCGAAGCTCCCAGCCAAAGAAATTGAAACACTTTGTTCCCTAGTTCCAGGACGTCTATTTTAACTTTAAGTTACGCTTAAAAGAGTAATTAATCCTTTATTACGCGAACACCTTCGCTTTAATTAAAACATTATACAACATAAATAGAATTTGTTCTGTCCCTAATTACAACAACGAATAATTTATGATTGTTTTTATTAAAACTTGTGAATAACTAAGAATTTAATCATGTGAAAAAGGATTTCTAACGTAGCACGTGTGACCAATGTTCGATAAATGTCGACGTTTAACTTTGTACTAACGTGGTTCACTACAAACCTAGTCATTTGTAAATCGGTCTACATCGCTCTATTTTGCTCTACCACAAAAAAACTGAGCAATATAAAAATATTGCATTGTTTTTATTAAACTATCGTAACTGGCATGTTCACATACATGAGGACTTGCAGTATTGAAGGCAAAAGTTTCATTCAAAGAAGCAAAAAACGTTTTAATTAGACCTTTACAACTCAAACGACATTACCTTGACATAGCTTTTTAACTATGTTGAAATAAACTTTTAAAACTGCTGGAAAGACTTATTTCAGCGACATTTTAAAACAAAGATATATTAATTAAAATGTAGTACTCTTGAGATACGTTTAAAGTTTCTCCACATATGAATTTTAAGACCTTATTCCAAATGTATAAGTAACCATTAAAATGTAAATCTTTTTACTTTTTGGTACATAGCTTGTAAAGTGTGTTACGTAATATTACCAAAAATACTGGTGTGGAATTTGTAGAAACCAAACATTTTCGTTTTATTTTCACATTGTAAACTAAAATGGGAGATAAACTGCAGATATAATAGTACGATAACTTACCCGTTTTCTAGTTTCATAGTCGAGCGCGCCGGCAACGTAGATGGCGCCTGTCATATTTTTGACAGCGAACGCGCCCCCTATGTTCCCGCTCGTGATCTCGTATCGAATACGCGACGCTGCAATAAAAAAAAAAAACAATTATAAAAAAACTCCAGTACGAGAAAACTCCGATGTTACATTTAATTTTGAAGTGGAAATTTTCGCAATGCGTCCCTATAGTCCAATTGGCACACTCGTTTTCATTTGTCTGTTTTCCAGTGTTTCACAAAACCTCCATTACAGGTCCGTACGACTCGAGTTTTGAACGTGATCGTGGGGTTTATCGTCACTTTGCGGTCGGAGAAAAGATAAAACGTAAAAGGATAAGAAATTGATACTTTAGACTCCAATTTATAACTTTTTAAACTTTTAAAAGGCAATGACAATGGTTAATTCGAGGTTGAACTATATTTAATGTAAAAATAGTTTTCAATTTCATTAATTTGTAACTTTTTGTTTATGCTTACTAAATTTCCAGGCTACACCAATACATATTCTTATTCCACGATTGGAATCAATATCTGCAGATATTAAAAACCTAAGACTAACAATGAGTAATAGTAACGGAAAATTGCTCGTCCAATTGGCCATCTCTATATAAAGATAATGTTCGCCTATCTATTTAAATACAGTAGAAAAAGGAAGAGGCTTTCCAGAGCGAGTGCCAAATGTCTTCGTTTCTGCACGTGCAAGCAGTTTGGCACGTGATGCGAATCAAAGCAACACATGTACGGGTGCAGTATACTTTGTACATATACACCGAGAATTGCAAATTATAGACAAAGCTTCGTGTTATTTTAACTCATTGGGATATATTAACAGTATTATTTTACTCATATATATCGATACTCACATTATAAAGAGGAAGGATTTGTATTTTTGTATGTATTAAAATAACTTAAAAACTACTGGGCCGATTTTAAAAATTCTTACATCATTAAACAGCTACGTTATCAGTAAGAAATATAGGCTATTTTTTCACTATTTTTTAATTTCACGCGGGCGAAGTCACGAGCAACAGCTAATAGAAAAATAAATGAAATCTGTCAATTTAATAATTGATTGAAAACCTACGTTGGACGAGATATTGATTTTGAAAAAGCTTTCAGCGGTACTGAAAGTCATGAATCCCGGCTTTTAATACTACATAAAAACAACAGTTCATGCAGCGATCAGACCTCTTGAAAGCCCCGAGCGAATTGCGCTGAAATATCGCAAATACAGATAGCCACTTAGCTGCACTTATAATGGGAATGCGGAAAACCTATTTGTATGTATGCGAGCACGACCATCCAAATACTTCTGGAATATTAAACAGCGATTGCTTTTCAATTGACATACAAGTTTTATTCTTGAAAATCGAGCCGGAAATTTAAAGCCAGTAAATACAAGAATCAAAAGTATTCCTGTATATTACTTGCTTTAAATTAACATTTACATCGACTCATCAGTATATTTGTTAAGAGTAAACTCTTTCACTGTGCACTAGTTACCACCCAAAGTAATTCTATGGTTATTCTTAAAATCATTTTTATTCAGCTTTGAAGCATCTCGCTCGGTCGGTTATATCAATACGGTCAGAAGTAAATACACAAAAATAACTTTTTTAAATCACTCACTCATCTAGAATTGAAAATTGATGTTTAATTTCAATTTATTTCAAAGATCGGAGATACTCAGAAGTCAGTATTGCAACTAAAAAGCAATATGATTAAAGTCCAAGTAGCAAAAAACTTCCAAGTGCATTTTAATAGTATGTCTTGAATAACAGTAACAAAATTAAAGGCGAACAAGACATCTCAACCCGACATGATCGTTCAAAGACTACTTTCTTTGTACAGTCGTAGTTTGCAAACAAAATTTGTCCGATAAGTTTAACGAGTGGACCCTAAGTTATCTTTAACATAAAGAAATCTAAGGGTTGCCACAGACGGACGGTGTAGTTATATTTTTAATAACAAAACGGAATAAGACTTAGCTTAAGATTTATTACACGCGTAAGTAATGATGATGTTTAAATTTTTAAAAATTTTAATAAAAAAAAATTTATAGTTTAAACTTTTAACATTGGAATAAGAAAAACCAATCACAACTAATATTCATACTCGCAAAGAATTCAAGCGTAATCATTTATGAAATTGCATTTAAGTACGAAGTAGTAGCGAGTGTTTAGCAAGGCAGCTGTCACTGTATACGTGGGCCACTGATTTTTGTATGTTGGTTATGAAGTCATTCAGAATTCTCAGACTAATTGGCATATAAAGAACGAGCCCATTTACTTACTCTGCGTCGGGATTTTATTTCACTACACACGACCGCAGTGGCTTTAAGTGAATACCTGCTTAGGAATGCCTTTGTTCATAAAGGTATAAGAATAAAATTGAGTCATTTTATTTTGGAGACATAAAATTATTCATAGAATACAAAGAAGGTTTTTTTTAGAAGTAGTTCAAATATAATTCAGATTATAGGCCTAGTCTTAGATATACGTATATATAAATTGCTTTGGCAAGCATATTCCTTGCGTATCGAAAGATTTAGTTTTTAATGAATTTATTAAAGACGAGCTGTTGCCCGCGACTTCGTCCGCGTGGTATTAGAAAACATACGAACTATATAAATTACAAAAAGCTACGTATCCCTCGGGAACCGGACATTTCTCGGGGATGAAGCTTATCTCATGTGTACTCCAGACTTTGTTTTATATCTGTTTTTTCTCTGTTTTTCTTTGTTTTATATCAAATTTCAGTAAGATATGTTGAACCGTTGCAGAATGACCGAGTGAACATTAAAAAACTAAATTAATGAATCCCACGGGAACCGTAACTATTCCCGGGATAAAAAGATGCCTATGTGTTCTTCCAGACTATGCTCTAAACCTGTGCCAAATTTCATGGAGATCCGTTCAGCCATTTAGGCTACAAACGCTAACAAACATCCATCCATCCATCCATCCATCTAAACTTTCGCATTTAGTAAAATGTATGAGTACGTAAATGATTGTACTATTGACTGTTGTATACTGAAGATAATAAGTAACCGTTAAATATTTTTTATTTGAATATAAATAATTAGAAGTATTGCTAAATATGAACGACTTATCACTTTGATAACAAAGTTCAGAATATTATTAGAAATAAGTACTGATAAGTATTTTAAGAGATACCTAAATCTGTCTCAACGAATACAATCAAATGTTAGGGATTTTATTTTGCGGAGTAATTATTATACGTCAGTACGGTTAGAATTTGTAGCAAACTGTAAAGAATAGAGATTGAGGGCAAGGGGAGTTCAGTGACCCGCATAGTGATGAAGTATGGTCTAATTCCATAACAAAGGTATGGATGCTCTGTGAAAAGTGTGAAAAAATGTGCATAAATAGTCGACAAATTTTCAAATTTAACTTTACAAATATAGGCTAACATTAAAAACAAACAAACATTATAACTAATTCTATAACTATCCTGTGGCGGCATCGTAAGTAGTCGTGAGTAATAGCCGTTAAATAATTAGTAATAACAATTTCTTACAAAAGTTTAAACGATTTAATTGACATACTATTTTTTAAACTAACAAAGGATTAAGAAAATACAGTTTCGAACTTAAGAAGATGGAACTACTAAGGAAGAAGTAATATAAAGGTCTTAATTTGTTATTTTATCTTCAATGAAAAATTATAAAACAGATTCTTAAGTATGCAAATAGAACTTTAGTATTTTTTCAATCGTATTATACAGTCTACAAACTTCAAATACAGCACGTGTGCTATATCATGCAGCTGTTCGCAAAAGTGAGCTCTGTTCTATAGAAACGAGACTTTTTGCACCGCTTTCTATCGCACTGGTCGCAATAAAGAATAGTCGCCCTTTACAATGTCTGTGTTTTTATATTACATCGTTTTCTTTTCATTCCTCTCCTCAATTTACTCTTTAGTACCTATGATAAAATATTATAAATGTTAGCTATTTAAAATAATGTTTTTAAAAGTTTTTTTCCTAAAAAATGAAGTAAAATTTTAAAATTGCAATAATTAAATATTAATCTAAAGTGTTTTAAGTTCAAAAGCATACGTATGTCATAATTTAACTTGAATTTTTAAAACTTAAAAGTCGACTCATCTTTGCTAGCGTATAAAAATGAAAAACGGCATGTACATTTTTCATTTGTGCTTACACAAACGATTAGTTTTCTGTCCCAGTTATTTCAAATAGAAGTTGTAGTTGAATTGTTTTAGACGTGTCTGTTATGTACTCGTTCCACGTGAAAGCGACGTAAAGTCAGTGAAAGAAGGCTGGCATTGAGTGGGTGCACTCCGTAAATCGGAACAAACTAAATGACCTAGCTAATGGTTGACGACAGGCCTCCATTGTTGTCGAGGCCTGCCAATCGTTTGTTGTCGCTGTAAAAACTGACTTTATGTTTGTGTTGTGGTGTTTACAGCCTCTGCTTTCGGACTTATCTCTCAATAAAAACGAAAGCCAGTAACGAAACTAAAGCAAACATTTAACATGATATGACACTATGGATTGGGAGACAATTATCTACAAAATACATTAAAAACACTAGAAAATCTTTTAATAGCTTACTTTGAGATGATAAATTGAATAAAAAAGTATTTTTTTTTCAATCTATAGAACATTTCACATGGTTAGAAATTAGCAAGTTGAATAAAGGAAGATAAAGAAACCGAGAAAAATAGGTCGCATATTTTAATTGCCTTTTGCGAGACGGGATAAATGGAAGTCATAAATTCCATTGTAGAGACGTCAAATATCCGATTTTTCTTTCATTGAACGAAGTATTCAATAATGCAAGGAACGGCGTCCGACCGCGCTGTAAATCACCGACTTGCGTTCTTTTCGTACAGCCACTTTCGGAGTCCTCCTTCAACCTCAGAATGTATGTCCCCACTTTAGTAATTCGATAAAAAAAAAGATTTATTCTTCTTCAAAACAGTATTTGTAGTGAATATATCGAATACGGACCTTATTTAAATTACATTTATATAAAAAAGTTAAAAAAACCACACGCTTATCCTCTATCGGTCTACATTTGTCAGCTCATAACTATTTTATTG